TGAGGGGACTGGAGCATCTCCCCTACGAGGAGAGGCTGAGGGAGCTGGGCTTGTTCAGCCTGAAGAAGAGAAGGCTGCGAGGGGACCTAATAAATGCTTATAAATATCTGAAGGGTGGGTGTCAGGAGGATGGGGCCAAGCTCTTTCCAGTGGTGCCCAGTGACAGGACAAGGGGCAATGGGCACAAACTGAGGCACAGGAAGTTCCGTCTGAACATGAGGAAGAACTTCTTCCCTCTGAGGGTGACAGAGCACTGGAACAGGCTGCCCAGGGAGGTTGTGGAGTCTCCTTCTCTGGAGATATTCAAGACCCACCTGGACACGGTCCTGTGCAGCCTGCTGTAGGTGACCCTGCTTCGGCAGGAGGTTTGGACTAGATGACCCACAGAGGTCCCTTCCAACCCCTACCATTCTGTGATTCTGTGAAAAGCACCAGACATATCAATAATGTTTTTATCCAGCTGATGGTCTTGCTCTTGTGTTCAAATGACTCTACAAGGCATAAAATTCTTTGGCTCAATTGACCATTCTGTGATTCTGTGAAAAGCACCAGAAATATAAATAATGTTTTTATCCAGCTGATGGTCTTGCTCTTGTGTTCAAATGACTCTACAAGGCATAAAATTCTTTGGCTCAATTCTGCTTTGGACTAAGAGGAGGCAATAAGGAAAATCTCAGTGGTCTCTCTTACAGAAGTGCTATAGAAGCCTTAACCATGCCCTACTTTTTTTTTTTCCCTCCTTTTTTTTTTTTTTCTAGAAACCAAGATATGTCATGCCCTTTGTTTCAACTTCATTTAAAAATAGTTTCTGCTTTAGCACACATGGGAGCCTACAGTTGCAAAAGCCTTTTTGTCAGTCAGCTGACTCACATTGCTAGTGAAATTCCAAACTGAAAGAAATACAGATTCTGTGAGCGTTAGCCTTCGGAGTTTTCTGTTCTGTGTGGTGTTGGTTCGAGTGCAGATGATGTCCTCGATGTGAGAACAACATATCATCACCTTTAGCCAGAATGCTGGAGCACTCAAATTTTTCATTGTTGTTCAGATGCTCTTGTTAGGAGCACTCAGGTGGCTTTTTGAACATATCAGGGCTTGATTCTGCAAGTGATGAGGTTTTCTGGCTGTGTCCATCTTTTTTTCATTCTATAAATGATTGAAACATATCATATTGTTGACTTTAGTCTAAGGAACTGCGTGATACTTGTTTGAAACAGTACCCCTACAGAAGAGGGGTCTTTTTTTTTATTTTTTTTTTTTTTTTTTAGTTAAAATTATATGAGTTAATGTTGGGGGAAAAAAAGTACCATTCAAATACTAGTGTTCAAAAAATCCTAAAAATTAAAAATAGCAATTTCTGTATTATCAACACAGATGGAAAAAAATCCACTTAGCTGTTCTCTCAACAAAATCCACTTGGCTGTTCTTTCAATAAAGCCTTTAAAGATTCCTCATAATCTAAAGTGCTCAACGGACTGGTTAACCTGAGAGAGGTTCTTTGAGGCAATGTTACCAGTATTATCACTCAGAATGGAAGAATCCCTTTTCTGAACTTTTGTTTTCAGTACCAATCTCTTTTTAACCAAGTACAACACATCCGTTTCCTCTTCTCCATCTCCTCCCTGCCCTTACAGCTTCTGCGTGGGATAAAGCTGCCTGTGAAATCTTTATTGTTTCATGGAATTTTCTTTGATTGGGCCAAGAGAGGAAGAATTACCTGATTGTGTTTGTGAAGAACACCGCTCACATGACTCCCTAATGCCAGCTTCCTAGCTGAAGATTGCAGCAGAGTATTCTCTAGAACTGATTTTTTTTTTTTTCCTGAGCCGTTTTTAATCCCTAGGCCAAGGTGATTTCCACCAGAGTTCTTAGTGTTGTAAACTCAGGTTTGATAATTCCAAAAATGGTTTACAAAGGTGTATTTTTAAGAATTGTCCACACAACTATACCGTAGTACATCCCTGAAGACAACAAATGTGCAGCACACTGAAGGTGCAGGTGGTGCTTTTTTCCCCATCCTAAAAGCGTAATGGGGAGTTTTCCATACATGTTCTGTGATCTCTTTAAAAGTGTAAATATTACACTTCAGCATAGAATTGCTGTAGTAGATGTGATGTATACTGGCATAGTGACATTTTTTGTACGTGTACACTTACTCGCCGAAAGATTACGTACAGAAGAGTGGGAAGAATCCTTGCCCAGTAATCTCACAGATATTAACAGAAGCTTTTAACTTAATTTTGTGAGGTTTAGGATTTGCCCTATGGTATTAATTCTCAAAAACAGTTGTCTTGACCACACGTATTTTTCTTTTTATTCTTTATGTGTGCTGTCCTTAGGAAATGTGTGCTTCTCATCTCTTGATAATCAGAGAACAACTTTACGAATTTGTTTTTATTCTGATTTGAAACAGGAACATAAATCTCATATGTGTTGAAGATCAACTTAACGTTAGTTCTCCTGTAGCTGTTTAACTTTTCCTGCTGTCAATCAAGAAACTGTAGCCAGGCATCTTTTCTAGAAGCATTTACTTTTGTACCTAGGAGTCATAAAAGGCAGAGGACATTCTCATCAGTGGCACTGAGTTTCCCTAGATACAGAGAGTCAACGCTAGCAGACAAAAGTTAAGGCTGCAGATTGCAATTTCCTAAACCTTTTAACAACCGAGTTAATTTTCAGGGCAGCTGTGGATTTTGTCCATCAACATTTTTCAGGATTTGTGGTGGAATTTATTCTCTGCTTCTAAGAATTTCTTTTTTGCTTTAATTGTTACTCTTGCATTTTTGTAAGAAATGACTATATGCTCTTCTGCCTCTATCAGACCAAGCCCCAAGCTCTCATTTACCAATAAATTTTCTATCTGCTGCTCATCTGAGAGTATGAATGTAGCCAGGAAGCGGTTTCAAAATGTTTGTGCTCTTTATTAGGGACACTATGATATGCAAATACATTACCTCCAGTTGGAGGGAATCATAGGGGAAGAACAGAGGTGAGAGCACTAAACAGAAGAATCCCAGTGATTGTATTATTTTGAAAAGAGTGGGATGTAGAAGGAACTTCGCATTAATATTGTTGAGCTGAAACCACAGCATAATGACAATTGGCGTTATATACCCCCACAGGCACATATATACTTCCCTCTTCCCGGACAAAACCAGAAACAGAAATCTAGCAAATCTCTGAAATAGAAAGGCCACTTGTAACAATTTTTAAAAGGCTCTCATAAGGTAAAAGATGCATTCTGTCAATAGAAAATGGAACTGAAAAACAGAGGTAAATTAGTGTAACTTGTTTTAACTATAAACTATTGGGGTTTTTTTGTGCAGATAAGCAGCAAAGATGAAGACTTCTTAGACCTTTCAGTTGATGTGGAGCAGAATACTTCAATCACTCATTGTTTAAGGTAGATGCAAAAATCTGAATTTTCATAAGTTGTCTTTGTTACCTATAAAGCAGGAAGCAAAACTAAAAGCTCACAAGCTTAGCAAATTCTAGCTTATGTAGACATAAGAGTATAAAATTATGTTTATATTTTATATGTTTATATGTATATTTCAGATAAGAAACTAGTATCTATAGTATTTCTTTTTTTTTTTAATTCAGGGGTTTCAGCAATACAGAAACTCTGTGCAGTGAATACAAATATTACTGTGAAGAATGTCGCAGTAAGCAAGAAGCACATAAAAGGTACATCAGACTCAGGGAGGGAAAAAAATAACCCATGCATTTCATGAAAATACTCTTGTATTTCTTTGTGTGTGTGTATGAGACAGGGGTAGAATGTTCTTTTTCCCTTAATTTTTCTCACTCTTCTGCCACTGAAGAGTAACTTGGTTGCATTCCTCTTGCTTGAGTTCAATGAGCCTACTTCCATGAGTAATGAGAATCCATGTAAAGCATTTTGGGACTCCTTTCATCATTATTTATTTTATGAACAAGAAAAAGAACGGTCTGAAGACCAATAATAAGTTAAAAAGACAAGTTAAACCAAACTACCAGTGACTAGTCAAAGATTATGGGTAATGATGAAAAGTCACTGGTTTCATGTGACCTTTTTAAACTTGGTTTTGTTTCGATAATAATTTTTCAAATTGCTGTAAGAATCAGTTTAGTAGCACTTTTCTCAGATTCAGTTAGAGTGTGTCTTGTCATGTTTTCTGTTAAATGAGTTTCTGGTTTCTTAAAAGCATGTAGTTAGTTGTGCTAAACTTCTGCTTGACAGTGCTTCTGAAAAGCATCAGAAGCTCTGAGGAAGCCTGAAATTCAGTATGTTTAAAAACAATTCTTGTCTGCTTAATAATACTTCTAGTCTTGTTTACACCTTTGAAAACCCTCTGATTTTGCGTACTGTGTGGTGTTTATTATCTGAGAAAGGGGTGGGAACGCTGACATGCTCTACTGGTTGTACTACTGATTCTGGTTATTTGGTTTACCATAGATTCAGCACATAGCTTTTGGCATATCTCATCTGCAAAGTCTGCCTTCAGACGCTGCTTAAGTCTGCTAATTGTTGTGTATTAGAGGGTTGTGAAGCCAGGTCTGTCCTGCTGTTTTCTGTTGCATTAGCCCTTTTTCTGTGTGGGAAATAATATGATCCCTGACCAATAAAAGCTGTGTTGACATAAACCTGTACTGTAGGCACTGCTGTACTGGCAAAACACAGCTTTTATTGTTTATATTCTGGTTTTTATGTGGAGCTTCAGTTCAGTTTCACTACAGTCATACTTTTCTTCCATCTCTGTTACATGGAGCTGATCTGTGATGGTGTGTATTCAATTGGCAAAGGTGGTGTACTGAATTTCCTCACCAGTGAAAGAGCTCCTATTATCAAACACAGTTGCATTATAAGAAGAGGACTTTCATTCTGAAAAAAGAAATAGAGCAGAAATTATATCCATATCTCAGAAATATAATAAAAATGTAACTCTTCCTAAAACCAGTTGCTTTTGTCATCCCTCTGCTCTTCCCCGGCTTTCTCATTTCCTAGTTCCCTTGCGGGCCATGGAGAACATTTGAGTCTAGCAGGGTTTGCTACAGGTTACTGTCAGTCTAAGTTTAGTGAGAAAAAGGGAAGGAAGGTGAGTGTTCAAGGGTTTTGTCCCCATCCCCCTATCTTTTGGAAAAGGATTGTCTTGTAGAAACATATTTTCGAACATTCTGAAAATCCAGTCTTGGTAGACACGTCTGAAACCTGGGCTGAGGTGTTGAGGCTTTTGAGCTACCTTTCGGGGCTGAAGGCCATCTGACAAGTTCAGGACATTGCTGATCTAAGGCAATTAGCTGTGCCAAGAAGCAGAGCACTCCAGCTTGGCTGCTCTGTTCATATGGGCAAGTTTATTGCCCAGAGAGTGGAAGTATGTGTTTGCTGCCAGGCCAGCTGGGCTTGGCTGGTGAGGACTTAGAGGTGCTGATGCGAAGTCTCAATACCTCAAAATAGGGAAAGGGGCCAGTGAGCCCTCAGTAAAACTAGATTATCACTTTCTGGCTTTGAATTCCATAAAATAATGCTGCAATATTTGTCCTAAATACTGTGCTAGAACACAGTATTATCTTGTTTGAATAGCATGAGGTAAGGTGAATAACAGTGGGCTATTTGTATCCCTTGGTGTTGTTAAATGAATGGCTGGATGTGAAAAATTTGAGTAATATGTATGTAACAAAGTGGTGTAACAAAGCTTATTTTAAAAGGCTTGTTTGACTTGGCTGGTTTAGTGAGAAATTCAACTGGAACAGGATCTCTGGAACAACTTTATTGCAATACTTCCACTGTATACCAAGTGGGATCTGGGTTTTGCTTTTGAGAACTCGGGAAAGCTATGGGTAGGTATGTTTAAAAATTGAATTCTGTGCTATACGGTCATTATGCCTAAATTATTACGTGGGTTCATATTAATATTATATGTTATAGCTTATTATTTTAAATACATTTGTAATTCCCTCAATTGTTAAAATCCACCATTATTTTAGCAACACAGGACATGTTTGTTAGACAGCTGATTATTTGAGCTTCTTTTAGTGCTTGCAAAATTTTTTAAAGACTTCAGTAAGACAGATATTCTGTTTGTTGATATCAACTGAATGTTTTGGATGGATATTGGAAAAACTGTTGGGTTTTTTTGTTTGGGTTTTTTTTTTTAGGATGAAAGTAAAAAAGCTGCCTATGATTCTAGCTCTCCATTTGAAGAGATTTAAATACATGGATCAGCTGCATCGATACACAAAACTCTCTTATAGAGTAGTTTTTCCTTTAGAGCTTCGTTTATTTAACACCTCAGGAGATGCCACCAATCCTGACAGAATGTATGACCTTGTTGCTGTGGTAGTTCATTGTGGAAGGTAATAACTCTATTATACTCAAGGATTTTTGTAAAAGCGTAACTGTGTTTAAAAAACGAAACAAAGCACCCTGTATCTCATAACTCTGATAGCATTTAAAGACCTCTTAAAAGTTTCTTAGGATAGAAAGCATTGTGGGGAGATGCTACCAGTCCTCACAGAACACACGGCTTTGTTGCTGTAATAGTTCATTGTGAAAAGTGGTAACAGTGTCTTTCACATCACAGATCTTTGTATGAACTGAGCTGTGTTTAAAAAAAACCCACAGAACACACAATGTCATGTAACTCTGGTAACATTTAAAGGTGTTTTAAAAAAAGTTTCTTAGGAAGGAAAGTGTTGTAGAACAGATTCCTTTATAAAGAATTTCTTTGAGGGTATTTTTTTTTTTAAAGGTTGAGCAATATTTTCTGAAATATATCTGTATGTTATGAATTGTCCTTCCTTTCAAAATATGTCCTTGTGTCCTTCCTTTCAAAATATGACTGTTAAATTTGTATTTTATTTTGCTGTATTCAACAATCATTCTTGTGGCTTCAAGTCTTAAAATCAAGGCTGCTCTACAGACTGCTTATTCAGTAGATTAAAGCCCCAAAGTTGAAAATGATGATTTAGCGTCTAGAATCAGACTAATTTGCATTGTGAGGTCAACTACTTAAAGCTCAGAGCAGGTCTAACTTGGATGTTAGATTAGGTTGCACCAGGCTCGGTTTCGTGGCTAGGAATGCTGATTTCATTGCCTCTTCGGGCAATTTGTTCCAGTCCATCAGTGTTCTCGCAATGATTTTTTTTTTCCTATATCCAGTCAGAATTTCTCTTGCTGCCATTTGTGACCACTGCCTCTTGTCCTTTCACTGTGCATGTCTGAGTAGAACCTGGCTCTGATTTCTTTGTAACTCTTCCCTTTTTGGATAGTGGAAGACAGCAGTTGGATTCCTCGTTTAGTCTTCTCCAGGCTGAACAAAGCCAGATCCCTCAGCCTCTTTTCGTCCGTCTGGTGCTGTAGCCCTCTGACAAATGGAGTGGCCTGCCACTGGACTCCCTCCAGTTTATCAGCCTCTCCCTTAAACTGACAAGGTCACATCTGGAATCCCATGTCCAGTTCTGGGCCCCAGAATGCAGAGTGGCAGGGTTCATCACTTCGCTGCTGGCTCTACTCTTGCAGCACAGCCCTGCATACCCTCAGCCCTGTCACCACCACAGTGCGCTGCTGGCCAACAGCTCATCACATTGACCTCCTGGGCCCACCTAGCCAGTTTGTTTGCAGCTGGTGCTGTTGGATGGAGCTAGTCTGGCACAAGACTGTGCATTTGTACTTGTTAAACTTCATGAGGTTCTTATCAGCATGTTCCTCCAACTTTTTGATGTCCCTCAAAATGGCAGGCCAGCCTGCTAGTCGCAAGTTTCTGCCTTTTGTTCTGCCCATGCCCCCATTCCTCGCTAGATAGACCTAGGATTACAGTAGAGTTAGTACAACTAGATCTCAGGTTGGCCAGGACAGTTTTGGGAAATAAGCCTTTGTGCCATAGTTTTTTGTGACATTCTTGTTCTGGATTTTAGGGAAAATCCATTCTGCCCATTTCTGACCATTCTGACCATTTCTGTCTCCCTCATTCAAGCCGCAGTCTTGGGAACTCATCTATTCTCAGAGCCATGGCAGGAGATGAGCCCTGTGTTCGTGGAGTTATGTGATTTGGAACACAGACATGTCCCTCACAGATGGCAATCTTCCCTCCCTGATCTGGACATAAAGATTATATGAGTGCTGTTAGCCGGTTAAGGCAGTTCCAGGACTGCGTTAACTAGTTGTCCACCTTCAGTTGTAAGGTTCAGCTATTTCAGAAGATGTTATTATTTCCTTACTCGAAATCTGATGAGCAGTAGGACACTTTTAAAGTTGTTTCTTTTTTTCTGTCATAGTTGTAGTGAAGTTTCTTGTCTGCCATAAACTGAAGAGCTGTGCATTGCGACAGTTTTGATTTAGTTGGGAGCCCTTCTCATTGCTATGAGGATTCCTGAGGCTTCTAAACTGTCGGTTTCATTCAGTTTTTGCATACAGTCGACCAAAGAGATTCCTGATTGAGACTGTAGATGAATAGCAGCTCTACAGCTTTACAGCTTTTTCTTTTTTCCTGATCAGGAATAATTTGGGATCTTGTCTGTCCCTATAGAACATCAGAATGTTTTCTTGATTTCACTTCTATGTTTTTGTTTTTAATTTTATTTATACTTTCAATGCCTGTGCTGCTTATTCTTCGTTTGAAATTATAATATTTTTTTAGCACAGTATTAAATGTAGAGATAAGTAAGACCTTATTATGAAGATGATGTAATTGGAGGGGAAAAAAGAAAAGAAACTTCCAAACAGAAATTGTTGTGGTAGCCATTTAAATTACTGTTAAGTACTGCTTTTCTACAATAAAAAAACAATTTAAAGAAATGCATTTCTACATACATGTGTGTTATTGTTTGTGTTCTTTTCTAATTGTTTTTTACAGTGGCCCTAACAGAGGACATTATATTGCAATAGTGAAGAGTCATGATTTTTGGTTGCTTTTTGATGATGATATTGTTGAGGTAAGCTTTGTGTAACCCTGCACTTTTTTCTCATAGCGACCAGAGCACTTGTACCTCCCTTGTCTATATGAATACTTAAAGTAAAAAGACTGGTATGCTAACGAAAAGAGAGTTCAACCCCAGTCTAAAGGAGCAATAACTGTGAGTGCAGAGCTGCACCTTATAAATTGACTGTACAATGCTTTGAATTACATTTTGGTTTTTAGACATCTTACAGGAAGCTTCTTTGTTTATGGCCACTGTCTTTCACCTTTGTTTAATAAGCTATTTCTCTGGCCATAAGGCATGGCAAATAAAGATACAGATAAATTGGGTTTACTGCAGTTCTTTTCTGAGGGCAATTTATCGGAGCAAGCCATTTGTTCATGTTTTCTAGGAGCTTATGATATAATGGAATGGGTCAGTCTGGTAGTGTACTTTATCGAGTGTCCTGGATTGTTTCAGATGAATGTGTAATAAATATCACAATAGGCAGAGACTTCAGATTTTTGAGATTTTGCCCTGAAATTTAAAAGTTAATCTCTGAAACAGGAGCCTTTTGCTTCTGGTGGTTTTTTTGCTAATATTGGCCATGCTTCCATGAATTATTCTTCATTAAAAAAAAAAAAAGGTTTCTAACTAATTTCTTGGAACAGCAGAATTTCCTTTGCTGGTTTTGACTGTCATCTTTCTGTTTCATCAGTTATCTTTTATTCTTTATTGAGAGAACAAAAGTATGATGGTGCTGCCCCAGTCCTTCTCCTGACTTTATTTGAATTAATCAAATCTATAAAAAGAATAGTTTACATTTTCCTTTCAGTACACAAGAACTGTATAATTAAAAAGAAAAAAAATTAGTGAGACTGGCATTGGACTTACATTGTTAATTGGCAGGATATATCAAGGGCATTGAAGTGTTCTTCTCTCCAAGCCACATCATGTACGGTTTTTCACACAGCAAATGACAAAAATGGAAATACACAGAGCTGCTGGGGAAGTAAAAGGATGGCCTCTGTGTCTTGTCAAGATACACAGTAAACTGAAATGTCTCCATAAGGTCAAAAGTTCACTTTCCTCCAGGGAAAACAGAGCACATTGTAGTAGATCTCACATTATTTCACAAACATCAGGGACCATCTCTCCAGTTCCAAAGCAGTAATACCTGGCAGTAATGTTGGGGGTTGGGTGTTTTGTTTTCTTGTTGTATTTTTTTTCTTCTTTTAGCCCTTCTAAAGAGGTAGGAAGGAATCTTTTTGTTTTTAAATCTGAAACATCTCATTGACATTTAGGCCCATGGTTCATCAGGCTGGCATGACTCACTCCTTCCTGAGAGAGGTTTTATTCCAAATAATGGGAATGAGATTGAATAAAATCTGCCTAAATGAAGGAAAATTTATCTTTCCAACTTTTTGTTGTTTGTAGCCTAATTGCCTTTGATTTAAAATGTGGCAAGAGAGCTTGCTTTCAGTTTCTTCTGCAGCCAAAAATGATGACCATGAAAACCAGATAATACTCTTTTCATCTTCTCAACAGAAGTTTTGAATGTTTCCCCCAAAATCTTGGTTATCAGAGGCTTTCTAAGCTAACAAGAGCACAAGCAAACATTCTGTGTGAAAAACATAGAGAAAGATAGACTTAATTTGCTGCTTTCTCCTTATTCTCCTTTGCACTTGATTGGCTTACACTGCTTGGAGGTAGAAATGATAGGTTTGTACTTGCATTCTTCAGATAAAGTCTCAATGGGATATTGTTGTCTTTAAAGCTTTTCTGTGTGGAATTTGCGCAAGCAATGCACATAAGATTGCATTCGTAGTAGGTTCACTTAATACTTAAAAATTTATATAGAAAGTATGTGTAGCCGCTATCCTCTGTGCAGTTGATAGCAGAGGGGAAACCAGAGCATAACAAGTTTAAGAATTATTTGGATTTAATTACTTTATGTAATTATGTGAAAGTTATGCTTGTTTGAAGATAGTTTTTAGAGTGGAACTTAATGCCATGTCTATGTTATGCAAGACATTCTTACTTTAAATTTTTGGGTTTTTACATACAGAAAATTGATGCACAAGCTATTGAAGAATTCTACGGGTTGACGTCAGACATCTCAAAGAACTCAGAGTCCGGTTACATCCTCTTCTATCAGTCTCGGGATTGAGGGGGAACTGTAGGGAAGAGAGATTTTGATGTCTCGCATCTTCTCTATCTTGGAATGGAGCAAGCACTGAAAAAAAGGAAAGCAGGGAGCTCCAGGGGCAGTAGCACAGTTTGCACACAACTAAGCAAAGAGTTTGGGATTCTTAAAACCTCTGTATCATTTTCATTTTATTTGCTCAGGTATCGTGCCGATTACACATCTCCACTGCATCCCATAAGCAAAAAAAGAGATACCAGCCACTCTTACAGGAGCTTTCCGTTAGGTAATACTATCTCTGCGGTCCTAATTCAAAGCCCATTAAGATCACTGAAAGCCCGTTAAGGTCACTGGAGACCTTTTCATGGACTTCAGTGGAATTTGAATCAGGTTCTAACTGCACTGCCAGATTGGTGCAATAGGAGCATTAGAAATCTGTATTTTATACAGACTTTGTGTATAAAAGGTAAAGGACTCTTTGTGAACTTAGTTTCCTGTGCTTAAGTTTAAAAGAATGACGTTGGGAGGGTTAACATGTAAGCAAGATATATCTGGGCCCAACACAATTGCCTTCTTGATGGTGGTAGTTTAACTGAAGATACAAACTGGTGTCAGGGAGGCAGATACGTTTTGCTTCTCTGAAGAAGCTTACATTATTTATAATGTATGATCGGGAACAATCAGTCCAAGATTATGGCTTTTAATCTCCGTATGGGGAAAGATTTGGTTTGTAATAGTTTATTTTTATTTATAAATTATTGTAACTTAGGATCTTGTGTATTGTCCTTATTCTAACAAGTATTGGAAATTTTATATATTAATTTGAATTAAAACTAAGTATGTTTAAATGTTAAAAAAGAGCCAATATAAATTCTAAAAACAATGCCTACAATATCTGTAAAAAATTAATAACACAGAAGAGAGATTTCCTTCTGGAGGAACTGGTATCTAAGTGAGGTACTTTATTTAATTAAATTAGAATATTCTCTTTTCATTAATGGGTGAAAAAAAAGTGATCAAACTGTTACATAGAAGACTTCAAGAATGCATATTGTAAGAGAATGATGGTGCAGTGGTGGTATACTGGTCTTTGTAGTTCTTTAATAATTTGTTAATGGTTCATGCTCTAAGCAAATTAGAATCATTTGGATCAAAGTGAACCATTTTAAGAATACTATTCCCTCTCCTAAAAATGGATCTACTTCTGTTCCTGATAGGAATGGGTGACTTTCTCAAAAACCACTCAAGGCCTCAAGTATAAATTATGTCTGAGTAAGAAGAAGAAATAGGCTTGGAATTTCATGAGATTGAAGATACCACATTCCTTTAAAATAATGCTAGAGTCCTGTAGCATGAAAATTTCTGAAAGCAGGCAGTTTGCCTTGCTTTAGGTTTATGAAACAGCATTAAGAATTAAATCTTGACAAAACACCTGATCTGTGAGAAATGTGAACTGTTGTGATTTGACATTCTTCCACTTACCAGTATGTCGTCTGACAGTAGCTGAATGTAATGTCTGGAAAGTCATGGGGTGTGCATTCCAGATTATGGCAATCAAGTCATGGATGTCCTTGTCACTCCCTCTTCAGCTAGTGATTTTTACATTATTGTAATTTTCTAAGGTTATTTTATTGAAACTGTTACAACTTTTAAAAAGAATGTCTCCTGTCTGCTGCTATAACTGACTATTTACTTACCTGTATCTTTCAGCTCAGGAAATGACTTCACCTATTCACTCAGTTGAAGAAATCTTTAACAGGGTCACTAAATTGGGCTATTTAGCAGCTGTCATACTGTAACAAATTGCTTTTGTAAAATGCAGAGTTTCTAAAGCCTTGGTTTGGCTAGAATTCTTTTATATAAAATTATGTGTCAATTAAGCTACCAGCATTGTAAAGTAAAGCTTAAACACTGTGGGAGATGCAGAAAATATGATTGGATTTTTCTTAAGGGATTCAAATAATCCTTTAGCGTTCAGTGGGAAAAGGGTTAAGGGGTGAATCAGTTGGATAATGGTGTATGTTAGAAGGATGAAGTCCTTTGCATACTAAAGGTACAGTATTGTAAAAGAACTGTCACATTACTTTTTTGCTAATTGAAAATGTTTGGTCTTTTTTTTTCCTTTTTTTTTTTTTGATGTAGTTAAAAGCTGAGGATAGTTGCAAAATATTTTATACCCTAACAAAATTTAAAACTTTTTTGTTGTTTCACTGGTTTTACTCCTGTAATGTATTTTTATAAGATACTGACTTTTATTTTGTATAGGGTTTTTGAGATAGTATTCCAAATTACATATTTTGTTTTTTCTTTTAGTGCAGCTGGAATAATTGTAAGCTCTTAATTAAACTGATATCAGAAACTGCAACTTAAAAAAAAAGAAAAGAGGCAGGGAAGTACAAAATATAACTGATTGGTATGTCAAACATAAGATTTTTTCTTGGCTGTAATACAGTGGGGAGTGTGGGAAAGTTGTCAGTTGTAAATGGTGGAAATTATTTGCTGTGTAACTATGTAAATGTTAATTGGGACTACAGTCCCTTATTTTGTATATTGGAGCAAAAAACTTCTATTAAATAAAGTATGTTCTCTAAAGGTAAGTACTGTATCCTTTGTGGAGCCCGAATGGTTGGTCAGCTGCCTTTCGTGCTTTTCAGTGTTTTCAAACCTAAAAAGTATCTGGAATTTCCTGTATTAAGCTAACTGCCCTGAGCCATGGAGGGAGAAGTGTGTTTAAATACACTGCATTCTATGTCTTTCTAGATGTATCATTATGAAAATAGTTCAGTGGCAGCTATGTTTTTGGTGCTGTACTTCTCTAGAATTAGTTTTTAATTAAGTTGTTGGTTTCTGAGTAGAGGAGAAGGGAGTGTTTTGAAATACTGTTCTTTCTTGATTTCCATTTCCTCAAAAAAATCTGTACCTTGCTATAAAATATGCAACTGAGTTATCAAGGGGTTTTTTGGATTGCCACCTTCTGGGAGGGAAAACAGAAGGAAAGAAAAATAGTAGAGTTTACAGCACTGATGTACGAGAGAGACTGGGGAGACCAGCATCAGAAGAAAAAGATGCAGCTGGTTACAATATCCATGTGTGATTTGGTACCAAGTCATTCTTCTCTTGGAGTGTACGCGCTACTGTTGGTAATAAATACATGTGCTTATAGTCTTTCAAACAGTTCATACCCTGCGATATTTCTAGTTGTGACGCCCACATCCATAGCCTTTTTGTTGCATGGAAATAGTGATTTTAGGTGTTCGGGTACTTGTTATGAATGGTTAAATCGAATTGTGCTTTCAGAAGTTAGTCATAAATCAGGTGGCATATCTTTAGGTGACATTCAGATGTTAGGACATAGGGATTTGGTGCTGCTTCAGATCTTCTGCCATACCCTTCGACCTCTGCATAGGGCTGGTGGGTATAACACAAGATCCACAGAAGATCTGCATCCTTCTGGAGCAGCAACTTGAAGCCAGGCAGGACATCCTGGCTTGTTCCCCATGTCTCTGTCTCGGTGTTTCCACAAGCACTGTTGCATATGCTTTGTTTGGAGCACATGCAGATGAAAGTCTGTATTGCTTTGTTACTTTTTTTTGGTGATGTTTGTAAAGTTTAAAACCTGAAGTATCTGAGGCCTCTAGTTAAAATTAAAGGAGCTTCATCTTGTGCTATTTGGTCCGGTCTCTCAGCTGTAAGTTTAAGACGATCATGGACTTAGGAAGCTCATCCTTGTAACAAAAAGAGATGTTGATGTGTGAAATCCTCAGTCTTCATTTACCAGAACTTACTCAGCTTTGTTTGTTCCTGCCTTTTTGTACAGAAATTTCCAATTGCCCGTACCAGAAAAATCTTGACTGTGTACAGTTAATGTCATAAACAGATCCTTATAACTTTCCTCCTAACTTTCTTCCTGACTGTTCACTCAGAATTAGTCATTGTCCCTCAGCATAGTGTACCTCCACAACATGGATTATAAAAGAACAGGGATGAATTCAGTTATACACAAAACCTTGTCTATCTATACATGTGAAGAGGTGAAATCTTTTTTTCTGTTCAACTGCTTTATTCAATGACAGAATTCAGCTTGGACTGAAAGGCTGGCACTGGGAACTTTTAAAAAGTGTTGCAAATACATCAACAACTGAAGATGCCAAAAAGGGTTGGGGTTGGGTTTGGGTTGGGTTTTTTTTCATTTTTGGGTGGGTTTTTTTGAAGTTGCCCAAAAGCAATTGTTTGAAACTACCTTGTCATCCCTTTAGATGTATTAATAGGTTACACCAGCAGTACCTGTCTCTCATCAGATACCCTTTATCTGTAAGAGGAGAAAATTTAATTTCAGTAAGTGTTAATAATCTGTGGGTTGCAGTATTACATTGCAGATACTTTTGTGACTTTTTTAAAGGCTTTAAATATTGCAAATACAGTTTGTTTGCTCTCAGATTTGCTTTACAGTGTAAGCTGTCCACTTGTCCCCCCACGTTTGTCTGGGTTGATCTTAAGTTTTTGTGTCTTAGAAATTCAGTCTTTGTTTTCCCTCTCAATAATGCAATGTATATACATTTTATGGTTTCTGTCTTGTAAGGTTTCAAAGTCCTCTAACCTCTCAGAGCATAACGTGAGATGTATAATACATTAGTGTCTTTACATGCAAACCTCCAAGTACTCAAGTTATTACAGAAATTAATATTCTACGTAATCTGTATTCAAGGGCTGTTCATTTTGCAGCAGCTTTGCCACTGATTGATTGTTATAAGTGAACTCTATAGGTCAACTACCATGAAAACAAACACATCTCATAAATACAGAGATCTCTGAACTCTGTTGTTTCTAGTTTTAATGATACAGTGTGGTGAGGCAGAAATAAATGTTCTTTGGTCTGTATTCAAACATGTCTGCAGTGTGGTCTGCCTCTTACCTTTTCTTTTTTTTCTTAAGTGAGTTAATTTTTAGGCTAAATCTAAGAATCTGCTATTCTGGTTGATGAATCCCTTTGGGAGAAATTGTGTAAGAATGTGTTGGGTACATAAGGAGAATTGTTTGCAGACATTGCCAGTTTTGAAATGAACTGAGTAAAATCTTCCAGTTTCTTCCCAAAAGTACAAGTAAATTATATTCTTTCTTTCCCTCTAGTGGCTTGTGATTGCTGCATGCATAAGAGATTCTAAGGGCTCAGAAAAGGGCAAGGCACTTAGTACCTAGCTCTTTGTATAGTACTCATGTTGGCAGCATTAGGGAGCTTTAATTACAGAAGGATCGTCAGTTGTGTCCTTGATCTGCGTTCCGCGGGTTGTGTAATCCAGGAGAGAAAAGGCACAGCAGGATCTCTCAGAGAATGCAGAGAAGTAGCTGTGCAATTATTTACTAACATGCTAGATGTAAAAGCAGCATTTCCTAAAAGATAAAATAGTACATTTAATGCCGATTTCTGGTGTTTGGAGAATTCAAGGGGTGCGTCAAACATCCTGCCATTGTAAGCTTTTGTTGCTTATTAAAGAGTCATGTCTTTGTGTGTGTGTTTAATTTGCTATTTAAACCTGTATTGGAAATTTGCATCTGTACGCAGATTTGTTAGGTTGATATGATTGTATTAATGAGCGCTCCTCCAGAAACAATTTATGTATGTATGTCAATCAAACGGACTATAATCTTTTAATGGCCTGATCTACAAAACATTGTCAGCTATTCACTAGGATTCATTTTTATATTTTCTGTTGCTGATTTTAAGCTAGAAAAAAATTGAAGATCTCCAGATATTTTATTAACATGCTATATTATTAAGTGATTCAATATCCATAGATGCCTAAAAATCTCACTGCTGTCAAGTATCAGCTGTTCAGAATTTGAATGTCATCACGTTATAACGCAAGCTGGTATACATCAACTGCTTTGAGCTGTGGTCGTACGTTATTTCAATTCTGTTTCACTAAATGTTGCTTTATTGTAATGGCTGCTTTAATCAGCTCTCATGGGATGTGCTAACGACATTCAGCTCGAGTTACATACTTCTGTGCGTGCACATTTATTTGTGTTTCTAGAAGCTGATTATCCTAATGTTATGTCACGTCAGTCTTCTCTCTGCAGCTTTCATGTCAAGGAAGACTGCTGCTACACAGCTACAGGCAGTGTTTGC